ACTAATATGCACTCATGCTACAGTGTTGTTTGGCTTGTCCATGCTACTGATATATTTAATCACATTGAGAAAAGTAAAAAACGGGCAATAGATGTTGTTTAAATGTTAAAAAATGGGTCACTTTAGCCCACTGCAAAGTGGTTGCTAAGCAACATGATAGTGTTGTAGTATATCATGCATAATTTAGCCTTTGTGGATATAAATGAGATGTTATTGTCTTAAACTTAAAACAATGGGATGCTTTAATACTGCATTATAGGAGCTTAAATGCTAAAAAGTGTCACTGTTGCTAGGTGGTCGCTAGACAACACGATGACAGCATAACATCTGATATAGATAAGAACCTTAAGGGGCCTTTGTTTCAAATCTTTCCTAGATAATGATCCAGGGAGAATTTGCAGACAAAGAAACAAACAAAAACAAATAGTTTGTGTATTACAGTAAGTTTTATAAATGGGCAATTATTGGCTGTTGTCCTCAGTAGGGTGGTGTGATGATTGCGTAAACTTTCTCATTGAGCCATTAATGACATAATCTCTTAACCAGAAGATATGAAGTCTCAGCTTATGTAAGCATGCAAACTTTAGATCATCGTTTTATCTGTTTCTTCTTGCTTTTGACTTTTGACTTCAGTCCCTGTGATGTTGCAATTAGTTCTACACAACTATACAAATAGGACTGGGTTAGCATGCACACTTTCACAACAAGTTCGAAGGCAAAAAGCTTTGCCCCATCAATTTCTTGGTAACCAATGCAGTATGTGAATTAGGTCTCTTTCTTTGTAATAATAATATAATAATAATGACATAAAGGGTACAATGAGGCCATGAACATGAGCAATGAGCAGTTGAATAATTTGTGTTACATCCTCTCAGTTTTGTCTTGATGCACATTTGCTTAATCACAGATAACTGTTTCACTGTCACCTCTCCAGGTGCTTCACAAGGTCGATACACCCACTACCCAAAAAAATTACTCAGAGATTTGTCAGCTCTGCTCTACAGGCCGTGTCAGCAGCGTAAAACAGTCAGGCATGAAACCTTAATTTTCTTTCATCCTACACATTTGGCCATAAAATCAGTTTAGGGGAAAATGAATAAATGTGCTGTAGTGTTGGAGTCGAGCCCCACCCACGCACCCATACGCCCACACACACACACACACACACCGAGCCTGTGTGGAAAGGCTCAAGGTTTGATTTGAGGCATCCTGTCTGTCTCCTGAAGCGCCTGTCAGGTTCATTGTGTAACAGGGGATTCAATGACGTCATCACAGCCCCTTCAATCCTACGCCTCTGCATCTATTTCCCTGCACATATACACGCACACACACAGGCATGGGGTTGTGGGGGGGTGGGGGTCCAATTCCTCTATGACTCATCTTCACTTGTCTGACGCAAGAGCATGACTGGGTCCCTACACTCTACACGTCCCCCCACACTCACGCACACACCTCTGTCTCTCCTGAATGCTGAAATACGGCTGAATCACTATGTTTTAGCTTCCACCCTCCTGTGCCTCTATTCTGGTTTTTGTTTTTCTCCTGTTTGTCTACCTCTCTGTCCTTTTTTTTTGTCATTTTACTCTGATATGCTGCTCCATGGCCGTCTTAAGCAGTGCCGTATGCCCCTGTATCGCTCTATTACTGCCTCGTCTCTCTTTTTGGATATTTATTTGTGTCTTGTTTTCTTCTTTTCTGGCATCCCACTCCTTCTCCTCCCTCTTTCTCTTCTTCTCCTGCTACCCCCCCCTTCTCCCTTATTTCCAAGCCTTTCTCTCCTTTCATCGCTTTGCCACCCTCCTGCCTCCATCTCCCACACTTACATCTCACTCCTTCTCCACCTCTATTTCTCCACTACTGCCTCAGCATACTAAACAGAACTTCTCTGATTACTTTTCTTCCTGAGAAACGTTGGAGACCCAAGTAAGAGACCCACCGCCACTGCCCTCTGCCGTTACCATGACTACAGCCACAGCACTTAGCTTTATTGAGGAGGGGTGAAAGGAAGGAGGAGGAGCGGGGAGCTTGCTGTGTGTCGTCACACAGAGATAGCACAAAAAAATGCCATAGCAGCAAACCAATCTTTAATTTGATGCCAAATATAACCTGTTATTTTGATTTTATGTCAACAGTCATGATCAAAGACCTTGAAAAAAGAGCATTTTTTATGTTCTTTTAAAAAAGAGTCATTCAGGCAACGTGGCATTTATAGTTTTGTGTGGTATCAGAAGCTTTCTGTGAGGAAATCACAGACTGTATATAAAGGATGGGCACAGTCTTCAGGAAGCCTTCAGAAAAGGAACATATTGGTTAGTAAGTTATACTCATAAAGCATACAGCTGCAATCCACAGACACAGATATAGCAAGGCTAATAAACATTTGGATAATAATACTGCAGTTTTACCCTTAATTCAAGTGATTTACCAAAAGCATTGCACTAACTGTTTAAAAATGACCATTTTCATACTTACGCTCACATTTTTTTTAGTTGTTCTCCATACATAATCAAAGAACCTGTTTATTTTATTGTGCAAGACACAATAAAATAAACAGGTTGTGTTATTTGCTGTTATGGCACTTAATGTTCTTATTTATATTACTCTTTTTGCGCACAGCGCTTTGTGCCTTTGCTGGCAAATCAGTCAGTCACACAAGCCTTTCAAATTTAGCCATATTCCCTAAAACTGACACAGATTTATCAATGACTTTGAAGCTGGATTTAATACATGTTTAAAGTTACAATTTTTATAACATGGTTAGCACCATCTTGAGCCAGTACAGAACGAGACGTTGGTTGCAGCTAATTGATTTACATTAGTTTATGTTTGCTAACTCGTAAGAGAGCCAATATCTCAGTTTGTAGAGCACTTTGTAAAAGAAATTAAAGAAATCATCATATAGATGGGAAAATAGGAAACAGACTCACTTAACGTGGGAAGCCTCAAGTGGCCACTAAAGGAACTGCAGTTTCTGGCACTTCTAACTTGACTTCATTTTTTTTAGCCCCAGTAGTTGCAGACAATTTTAATATTTTTAATGAGAAACAGGAAAAAAATAACTTGTGTTTTCTCATAGCAGCATGCCAATACAGTGTATATACATTACAATTTATACCAAAGTACATATGTGTAATTATGCACAGGGAACGTGTGAAAGGAGAACAAACTGCAAAGACAACTTTGTTTCCCAGCAAGTTAGAAATATAGATTTTCATAACTACAATGAGCATTTCTGTTCAAGATAAATTATTACTGCAAAATTACCGTCGCTGAATGATACATCCATCATTTGTAGACTTTCTGAATTTTTAAACGATTGTCTAGCCATTGAATGCCTGCAGTCTTCTACCTCTTTCTCTCTCCTGCTCTGTCACTGTCAGTTGTGTCGGTTTGTCAGAGAGAATGAGAGAAAGGGCAGGAAAAATGGACAGTCCAACTACCTATCAATCAATACAACTGATTAGATTTTGGCCTTTTGGAAAAGTAACAGATTATCTGCAGAAAGAAAAACACACACTTTCAGTTTTGTATTGTACCCCTGAGTTATCCAAGCACAGCAAGAAAAGCTGCTAAATATCCCTGCGGTACACAAAAATGCTCAAAAACACAGAACATGGATCTTTTTAAAAGCATTCCTTTCACCTGTACTTTTTTTTAGTTATTTAAAGCAAATGTAACACCCCACGAACTCACCTAATCAAACATGCTAACCATTTCCAACTCCTTCTGTTGAGTTAACCTATCCCTGCGAGTGTCTTACTCAAACCCCCACGTCCATCAGTCATGCCCATGCAGGGGAGTAGCAGAGAGGCACCCATGCAGCAGGGAGGGAGGGGAGGCTGAAAGAAAGGCCTGAAAAGATATCGACACATACACCTACCCTGTAGTAGTCAGTGCTGTAGACATCTCTTGACATGCCAAAGTCTCCAATCTTTACCAGCAGGTTCTCACCCACCAGGCAGTTCCTTTTGGACAACAAACACAGTGAGACTCAATAAAGATGTTTCACGTTGCTGAGTTAAAATGAAGGGTGTTAAACTACAACCATATATCTTATTATATGGTTATTACCATGACTGTTTGACAGATTATCTCTACCTGATTACTTTACTGGTTCCGCTAATAGCTACACTTCTCCTTGTTAGATGTTTTTAGGTGGTATTAGCGATTGTTCGTGCTCAGTCATTATGAGTTTTAAATAAATTCCTCAAGGATCAGAATAAAAGTTCATGTTCAATGACACATCTGGCATCTGTTAGGAACAAGCAAACACAATGTGCATTAACAGAGTATTTTACAAACCTTGTGGCCAGGTCACGGTGCACAAAGTGTTGTGATGCCAGGTAGACCATGCCAGATGCTATCTGCTGGGCAATGTGTAGCATTTGAGACTGGGTCAGCTCCACAGGTCTGGTGGTCTGGCCCTCTGCCATCAAAACTGCATCTGGACCATGAGCCCTGTGAGAAAAAAACAAGGGAAATAATAATCATTCGTCTTTTCAGCCATGTATCAACCACGTAAGATGTTTACATGTGTCCCTCTAATAGAGAGTATGTAGAAGATTAAGATGGATTAGCACACGCAAGCTTCCTAATCTTTAATCCTTTGATCGCTCATTTTTCATAGAAACTCTTTAGAGAAAAACACATTTTAAATTTTGCCATTTTACATATTGAAGAAGAGAGTCATGCCTGAGGAACTTGTTGAGGTCACCGTGTTTCATGTACTCAAACACCATAATGAGCGGGTCGCTCTCCACGCACACTCCGTAGAAAGTGACAATATGCTCATGCTGAAGGTTCGTCAGCAGCTCAGCCTCACGATGGAAATCCTTCCTGGCATTTTCGCTGGCCTCTTTAAGTGTCTGCACACACACACACACACACACACACACACACACACACACACACACACACAAATGACATTTTAATAAAGTGACAAATCAAAACCTCACACATTATACCACATACTCTTCTGCCAATTGGTCATTTTCATAGTGGATTCATTCTCCTCCAATTTATTTGGCTGAGGTCCACTGTGTAAAAAAACAATACAAAAGTGCGTATAAAAGTGAGTTATAGCAACATGGCACAAACAGTGTGAAATTACTGGCACCAAACAAGGACCGATATGACAGCAGGGCAGGAAAAAGATGGAGACATTTTATATTAATGCTAGCCATTACAAAGTACAGCACTGTTTACATTCATTATGTTTCCCTGTTCCCTTTGAAACTAATCTTTGTCTCCCTTCCATGAATCAGCAAATCTGTCAGGGAGCTTGTGTAATACAAGCATCCATGACAGAGAGTGTATGTGAAGTGAAAGTGAATGACTGTGTGCATGTTCGGGGGCGAGTTACAGGAAATGAAAGCGATACGGGGTGTGTATTAATTTCACATATAAGAAGAAAAATATAGAAAAGTTTCTCTTGTCCTACATGAATAATTGATTGTCTTCCTACAGTATATGATAGAGATATACATGACACACATTGCAGGTAGAACCTCCGACTACAAATACAGATCTACAGGAGCGCTGACTTAGAAAAAGCAGAATGAGATGACCTCTGACCTTTCATCAAAAGCACTAAAATGGAAGAATATTAGACAGACTTCAACCTTAAGCACTTACATTCAACCAATAATGTACTGTGAAACAGAGGCATGGTCGAGTACACTGCAGACTGTAAGGTGATACTGCAAGAAGATGATTATTACAGTATAGATAGTGTATATGAATGCCTGTGCCCCTGTCTCACCATGTAACTTGAGAATATGCATAGGATATGTCAGTTGACTGACTTTCCTCAGATGTCTTTGCAGGACCTTTCACTGTTATATCTAATGTTATCAGTTTATTGTTTGTAATTAATAGAATTAATAATGGCTAAAAAGGAAGACTGATGCTGTGTAGGTCAATGACAAGCTATTAAAACCAGCTTTGAGGTTTCCAGTTATTTTTATTGGTGTGGTTTTTCATATCAGTGCAGTTCTGAATGTTTGAAAGCCACAAATAAACACAGCTGTTCCTCACTCTGAAAGAAACCAGCAGGAGGTAATAAGAGGCGATGAATATGATGCTGAAAGCCCAGACTTTGTTCTTAGCATGGTTTAGAACTTATCTGTAATGATCTATTAACTTCTAATGAAGCTTTTACAATTCATAAATCTTGAGAGATGCTCATAAAACATGGATAATTTTCCTCATTATCCCAGTTTGACTGACGATGACTCCCAGAAGTCTATGGGTCTATGATGTACTGTACTGTGTGCTCCTTAAAAAAAACTGGAAAAGAAAAATGAAAAAAATGTTATTCACTGCACCGCTGGTCTCAATCAGTATCAAATGACCACTGTGACCAGTATTAATCATTGTATTGAGCCAAACATATTAATGTTGAGTTTAGGAAAAATACTGACTTTCCTGTGAGCCTGGGAGTATTACAAATCACGGTGTGGCTTTCTGTACTGAAAGCTGCATTAATTCCCATGCTAAAACTCATAACACTGCACTGTTAGTCATCCAGTCTGAGCACATTCAGGTCCATGGACAAATAAAAAGCAATCAACAACATCCAGCTCACAAATGTGGTGAGTCATATACATGCGTGAAGGGAACATTATTGAAAGTGCTCGGAGTTCATGACTGATGGGATGCAGGAGCGTAAATGTGTTTGCATGAGCTTGCCTGCGTGCATGTGCATATGCATATTTTTTTTATGTGCACTTGTTACAATTATCCTCTGATCGATGGCAACTCAGTGTTTAATATACAGTAACAGTAAAACTTGCTTCTGTATTATGGATGACGGATTGATTGATAGACAACCCTGAAATCCAGGCCCATTAAGCTCTATTAGTGTGTGTAGGTCATTGTAATGTGGTATACAAATGAGAACCTGTACCTGTAATGTAGCGTGACTCACAGAGAACAATATAAGCATGGCGTGGTTTATCATAAAGGAAGTGAATTCCTCATAATCCATGTCCTTTCCCCTTTATTCTGTACAGGACACAATAATTATAACTGTTGGCAGAAATGATGGAATCACCACATTTGCAGAATGAAATCACTGAGAATTGAGGAAAGAAGTATTGAAACTCCTTGAAATTTGCATTTCTAAAGCAAATACCTGTGCAAATTTAAATATGCAAAATAGTCTGCAGTTAAAAGAAAGAGTTTGAGGACCTTAACAAGCTGCTGCTACACCTGGCTGACTGAAAGGAAGCATGACCCCCAACAAGCGAGGTGTCTACTTAAACAATGGAAAGGATTATACGACGCCTTGTATAAAATCTGCAGCAAATATATAGACAACATAGAATGACAGAAAACTCAAATCAATATGTCTGGAAAACAAAAAAATGCAAAGACAAAACACAAAAAAACAAATAGGCAGAAATAGGAGTTCATGCTTGTGATACAACTGTGAGAAATCAGCTGAATGAAATGGGATTTCATACCGAAAAGCTGAAAGAAAACCAGCACTAACACAGAAAGAGAAGCTTGTTTACAGTGACCTAAAGCGAACCATTTAAATACTCATTTATGAAATGGGGTTGCATGTCAGATGATTTGTTTATTTCTAAGAAAGTTTAAAGAAAAAAAGGGGGAAAAAGCTGAATGAACTTCATCAAAGTGTGGCGATTCCATAATTATTGCCCAGGGATTGAATTAAATACACTGACAACTCTCACAGGCAAATCAAATTTGTTTCTAAAATCCAGTCATTACAACAGATTCTCAGCACTCTTGTTTTCAAGTGATCAGATCAGATGTGTGTATCCTCCTGAGTGTTCAAACATCTCGTGGGATTTGATTTGCCTAGAAAACCTCGAGGAATAGTTTGTATTAATTTGATGTCTCCTTCTTTTAATTAAAAGCAGCTGGTAAGAAGTGACAACATATTTATTTGCAAACAGAAATTATCTTTATTTGGATTTCTACACTCTAAGCATCTCCTTCACGAGACTGTTTTTTTATTTTAGTTTCAAGTTATGCGATATGTATATGTACAACAACGGATGGATGGATGGAGGTAGTACTGTTGAAAGTCTCTTTTCATCACCCTTCAGCACTTTGTGTTATTGCAGTGTATTGGCAGCAGGATCACTGACGCTGACGTATGCAGGTCGTCAATTAGTTAATTAAAAACAAATCTGCTGTCATTTAGAAAGAACATTCAATGGTGTAACTGCATACGTGAAAATCTGAGAATTGTTCGTTTTTTCCCTACATTTGACCAGATTTGACATGCAGCCAGCAAAATGAAGCATCGTGTTCTACAACCAAGAACTGTGCTGCTGTCCACGATTTCCAGGTCCGTGTTTTGAAGTGTGTTCAGTCTAAACCGACGCTAAGCTGGCAGCATACATCAGCAGGTGGTTCAGGGCTAAGCCGGGAGCAAACAGGACATGTAGGAAGAGAAAAGAAGGTGTAGGATTTGAGAAGAGGCAAGCATCAGGATGACGACTGAGGAGAGAGAAAATAAAAGACTGCAGGTGAGAGCTGGAAGTGTGGAGGACAGAGGAAGTGAGGGGCAGAAGAGGACAGGGGCAGAGGGGGCTCTTTCACAGGTCATGTATAGTTAATGAGAAGTTCTTCACCGTTCAGATCCTGTTTCTCTGCAAAACGGCAGAAAAAGCATCCTAGATGGAGAGACCGATGGACACATAGATGCGATGCTCCCTAGGAAACCATTCAGTTTGACCCCGGAAGTCAGCGGTTTTTGAGTGTAATTCCACCTTATTCTTGCAGAGAAACCCGTGAAAAGAGGGACTTTCTAACAATAGCACAGTAAATGGAGGCCAACATGGATTCTGAATAGTGTGCTGACGCCATGTGAGGGATTTTATTTCAAAATACCATGGATCTATTTCAGGAACCAGCTCAATATTTTCAATGTATTTCATGTATCAGATGTCAATTCTGATACCGTGGAATAGAAAAAGAATAATTTCACCTTCAATAATGCCATTTAGGAGCTTTATTTTGACATGATCAATCGTTCTGTAGGACCAGCGGAATTTAAAAATATCTCACGTTGAAACTTGACCCGTTTGTTTTACTGCACACAGGATACATTTTATTTACATTTCTGGGCTTTGGTTTATAAAAGCTGCAAAAAGAAGTTTGTGTTTTCAGAAACTGGAGTCAATATGAAATTAATTAGTCTAATTCTCTGATTTATAAATATGTTTCTTAGGAATTTTAGGACTTCAACATTACCTTGACGGCCACCAGTATCTTCTCCTGGTCAGGTGAAAGGTTATAACACTCAGCCAGGAAGACTTTCCCAAAGGCTCCCTCTCCCAGCTCTCTCTTCAGCACAATGTTATGTCTTTTAATATGCTGGACAACTGTAGAATGAAAAGATGAAGAGGAAAACTTTTTAGTACAAGTTACAAACATGCATATAAATTGGGGAGGGGGGTTAATCTTTTTTCCTCGTTTCTTTTCTATTGCCCCAAATGCTCAGTTTTAGGGAGCTTTTCTAATCTTAGCTCACAGCCCACCAACCTGCTGCTTAAACCCTCTGTTTGTGATGGGCAGCCAATAAGAAGAAAGCTGGAATAATTGGAGGGAAAAACAAGCCAAAAGTGCTTGTTCGGCCCAGAAAAAGATCAACTGTAAATCAAGCTGAAGTACACAAATAAAAACAAGGAGCTGGAAGCAGGATTGATGCTTTGATCGCACGCCATTTATACTTTAATGACTTCAGCTCATGCAGTGAGTCAGTCTGGTGTCATTTGTTTTGTGGTGTTTGATTTCACTCAAAGAACAGAAAACTGCATCATAAGACATCTGATTTTACACAAAAAGAAGACATTTGAATGTTGACTTGATAGCATGTGGAAGATAGCATCTTTGTAGTGCATATGTGGCAAAACTATTATTCTTGCTCTGTCCTTAAAGAAAATAAACATCTTATCAGACATAAACAATTAGCTACATAGTTCTAGAAGTCACACGATAGCATGACTTTTGCCACCTTGGATAACAATTGCGACCTAGCGTAGCTGTGCTTGAGAGCGGTGTATTTGCAGTGTGCCCACTATGAGTTGCTGTAGTTCAGGACAAAAAGTATCATCCAAACATTTTCTCCTATCACACATGAAGACATGTGGTAATAAATCCACACAGCGTCATTGTAATAAACCTCCCTTCTTTTAAATTGTATTTTCTCCCACATGCTGCAGTAACGTCTGTTAATGAGTAAAAGTACAGAGCGCATAGCACACAGCCTTGATGAGGCATGAGGTCTGTAATATAAAGTGTGGCTTTTCTTTACTTATTAGTCTGTAATTACACTGTAAGAGCAATGTTCTCGTCACCGACTTTCTTTCAGCACTATTACCCAGTAAGTAGCCAGTATTTACAAGAGCAATTGAATCTATTTTTACTCTTCTCTAAAATGCCCAGTTGCTTCTTGTTTTCTGGACCTTGTGTTTGGAGTATCACATTGGAGTATCAACTGAAACTTGTCAGTTTTCTTTTAAAATAACCTTTGCTCTTATAACAATTTATCCCTGTTAATCCGAAGCTGCGGATTTTCCTCCTTTTTGAACAAAAAGCACAGCTGCAGGGCATGTTAACCCCATGGTTTTTCTAAAGGGAAAAGGATGTTAAAATAAATGGTTTCTGTCACTCACAATCCACATGCAGATACATTCCTCTACTGTTCATCCCTCATCCAGTTTCATTTTGAAGCCAAAAAAGGCTCATAACTGTATCTACTGTATATCTGGGGATCATTTTCTACTGCATACATATTTCATGTCTTGATTTATGTATCATATAAATGCAAAAGTAAATAAGCAAATTCCTTCTTTTTTGTCTTCTACGACTTCAACACAGTTTTTACAGTAATGTAAATTTGAAAAACGTGTCTCTCTGCTTGCTTCATGCATCTAACCTCTTCCTGCCTTCTGCTCATCCACAGTTGGATCAGAGTCGACAACTCTGCTCTCTGTTGCTAAGTAACTCGCGAATCCACGCCAGCTGATTTCTCAAAAAAAAATAAAATAAAATAAAAAAATCGGCATCTCGCCGGTTATTGTACAAGGTTTTATCATGCAGAATGATTAACAGCCTCGTGACCTTACAATAACCTAGTTAAACCCCGTCTTTTGATCGCCAGCCAAATGTGCTCCATGTCTGTCTGCATGCAGAGAAACACGTTATCCTGTAATACCTGTGCTCGTTTAGGTCCTGAATACAAATGCATATATACACACACGCTTTTAGACACACACGCACACACACACACACACACACACACACACACACACACACACACACACACACAC